CTCATTGAATAGCTGGGAAAATAAAGTTATAGATTAATATAATACATGATACATCATTTACTGAGTGAATGGGTCTGCTCCGGAATTTCCTGGCCACCCACTATAAAGGACCTTCAGGGACAGTGTCAGGCACAGAAATACTAATTCCTTGTAAGTCAGTTTCTGCCTTATAAAGCACTATGTTCAGATTTGGGAAGTTTTCCTTTTGGTGAGCTAGAATAATTCATTAAGCTGCTTAAAAGATGTTATCTGAGTACCTAGGATGCTTCACTGATAAAGCAGGATGATGTTGGCACTGATAAAGCCCTTACAGACCTAATAGTTTGTTAGAACTGTTAGTCATCAATCCCACTTCTGCACATCAGTACTAGTTCTGCATTTAAAAACTTCAGAGGGCGAATGAAGTAGGCTGGTGAAACTAGATGTATGCATACAAACAATAACCAGTTAGAAACTGTAATGGAAGAAATTCCTGGTCATTATTCCCCAAATAGAAGGTAGTTTAAAAGATTCTTAAGAAATTTTTACGTCTAGTATGAACACAACTATAAAAATTTACTGAGAGTCATAAAATATTACTCAAATATATGGAGAGACATAACCTTCCTGGTAGGGAAGACTCGATGTTATAAAAACACCACTTCTCTTCAAATTAACCTAAAATTTTAACATATCCCTAATTGTAGTCCCAAAGTGCTTTTCTGTTTGGAAAAGTTATTAGCAAACATTTTCCAATCCATCTGGAATAATAAATATGCGACTATAGCGTAGAAGCTTTTGAAAATTGAGAGGTGTCAGAGAATGAGCTACTAGATATTAAAATGAACCATGAAGCTGAGATAATTAAAAGAGTGAAGATCAAAAGCTCCGCAGAACAACAGAAAGCCCAGAACGTACATATACATACATATGTAGATGTTTTAAATTCACAGATAAGGGTTGATGACTGCTAGGACAAATGGCTTTCCATCTGGGAAGAAAATCAGATCCCTACTACACCCCACACCTGTATCGAAACAAATTCTAATTGTATTCTGGTGCAAGAAATTAAAATCAGACCATTATTAAAGGAAGGTTATATCATTTTAAAAACACTTGGACTTTCTAAGAGATGAAATTAACACCTAACACTTGAAAAAGTTTATGCTTATCATGATCCTTAACCCACCCCATCAAGTAACATACTTTAAAAGATACAAGTACAGATTGGAGAATATTTATAGTCTACACAACAGCCATGAGGTTAATTTTCTTAATAGATAAACAGCAACTAAAATACAATATGACAGGAAGCATTTCAATGGGGAGAAAAAGGACAAAGGGCAAAAACAGGTGATTGGCTAAACAGGAAACACTAATAAATAATGATATGGAATTAAAATGCTTTTCTCCAGTAAAGGTATAATCAACATAAACCAGAGTGAAATGGAACTTGTTTATCAGATGAGCAGTGATTAACACCATTTAGGGTCCTGTGAAAATGCGAGTGAACGTGCGCTTGTTCATAGTCTTGGTGGGAATAGAAAAGGACACGAATTTTCCAGAAAACAGTCTGGACAAATCTCTCCAAATCCACACAATCTAGCCTTACTATTAACCTGAATACTTCTGGGGGAAGGTAGTTATATAAGTAAAAATCCTTATACCTGACTATAACAATGATTATTTCAACAATATTAAAAATCATAAGCAATCAAAAGATTGATAGCATAAATTATGGCAAGTTCATATGACGTAGTATTGGATGTCATGAAAAATATTTGCTACAAATTTTTGAGCTCAAAATCCAAGTTACCTAAAAATTAGAAAAGTACAATTATATACAGACATATGTATATATTTAAGTGTATGTGTTATTTGTGCATGCATGTATAGCAATACATATAATATATAATTAGATGGATACAACCACATACCAATAATAGTTATTAATAAAGCCAGTAAGAACATAAGTGATTCTAATTGTACTTCCTTTGGGGAATCTGTACTTTCTAAATTTTCTACAATAAATATGTATTACCATAGAAGTATGAAAATATATACTATACATTACAAGCTTTATTTAAGGCAGTAGAAATACTTTTCTTAAAAGAAATGTGAAAGAACCCAATTCATGGAATCTATAAAAGGGTGAAGTAAGGGTAGCAGGGTTGGAATCCTGCTCTTGTAGTGAATGTCTTTGAGCACCCACTTTGAAATGTCATTAGCTGCGAACTCTGCTGAGAAACCATTGCACGTTGACAGAATGCTAGGGCCTGTGTGAGGAGCTGTTAGTGAGTTTATACAAGCGAGGCTAAGTGATTGCTGGCCACCTCTATAATTGCTCATAAACTAATAGCTCATTTCATCTAGTTTGCTATATTCATTGTTGGTAACATTTTTAAAAAGTTTTGTAAATTTTAGCTTTTGCTCATATTAGTTCATCTGTGGACTAGAACTAAAGGGATTTTTTCATCATTACCTTGACATAAGCTTACAGAGTTATATTTGATACTGAACCCTAAGATTTCTCTGAAGGTTGAAACAATAAATGACCAAATGAAAAATGAATCTTAAATTTCTCTAAAATTAGCACATTTTCCATTCTGGTATTCAATGTCCCTTATATGAGAACGCATATGATAAATTCTCCTAAAATTTTAATACCAGAGAAAAATGATCATTTTAAAGTATATGTTCCTTCTATAATGTTGTTTTATTCCTATATAACTCATCATGTTTCTCTTTTGACTTTGGCTTCCAGAAAGCACAGAGCTATATTTATTGCCAAACTGTAGCAACCAACAGCTGCCTAATTTTGCAGAAAAACTCTGCCCCAAAACACATGAGTGTTTATCCTCAACTAAAAGGTCCCATGACATGCATGGCTCACGTTATGAGTTGTCACAAATCCAATTTGGAAATAGGCAAGGATCAAACAATAAACATACATGTATGTAATTTGGACAAGGCATGGTTGGTCTTTGGCAATAAAAAATGCTTATACCTAGAATTTGGTTTGTATCAAGTGGTTATTAGGCATATTGCCTAAATCCGGAGTACTTCTCAGGAGCGAGTCTGTCCCTGGGCAAAGCTATGGCCGTTGGGGTGAGCATGCAATGAGGCCCCAGCCTGCATCCATCTGCATTCTGTATCTGGCTCCTTAAATTGTCTGCACAGCATCCAGTGAGTGTATCAGTTTGAAAGGGTGATAAATGAGCACGGTGCCAATAAATTAGCAATTTACACAGTTTTCCATTGATTGTAACCTTCAGAGCAGTTAGTAGAACAAGATCTTATTGAAAAAGACTGGGAAATAGATAACTTTTATACACAGAAATGTATAACTCTTAAGTAATAGTGTGTGTGAGAGAGAGAGCATGTGTACTTATTATAACCTCAATGGTAAAATAAGAAACATTAGGTGAGTTAAGAGATTTCTTCATCTTGCTGCAAGGTCAAAATTTATCCTAATTAATGATAGATGGTTTTAGAACAAGCTGAATGCTCAATAGGTCACAGAATATGGAGAGATGAGGATAAAAATTTTAAATGTCTATGATGTGAACAGTTCACACACATTATTTCTTTTAAGGGCTATGATAACATTTTTTTTTCTGGAATGCATAACTTCTTCAGCAACCTCCTTAATCATGTGGCAATACATGAACATAGCAGATTTTGTGTTGAAATAATTTGGATATAAAGGCCCAGTGGGGTGGCATCTTGTCATGCAGTCTTCATTGGAGCACTGTTAGAACTGGCATGGCAACTTTCGTGTCTGTAGGGACCCTCTTGAGGGCCTGTGGGAAGTGCAGAGCACAAAAGGCCACTGGATCAGCTGATTAGAGCTGGATCAGCTGATTAGAACTGGATCAGCTGATTAGAGCCATAGGTTATCACCACCAAAATGATTTGCCCTGGTGTTATTCATAGGAGAGCACAAACCAACTCAACAAGTGGACCAGGGAGGCCCCTGGGCCCCTGGCTATCTTCCCACCCATGAAAATCAGATACTCTTCAAATGGAGTTTTATATTCCACTAACGATTGGCTAAGTGAATAGGGGCGTCGTACTTTGAGTCTTTCTTTTTAAATTAATGAGATCATCTATGAAAGGTGACCAGCATTATCTGGTTCATGATACACCCTCAAATATATATAAGTTATTGTTATTATTTGTTATTCAGATTTTAAAGGCTAACCTCTTAACATGCAAATACCTAGGGAGACATACCTTGTTACTGGTTAACACTTAGTGGAGATTCTCACCACTTGAATGTCAGTTAAGGTATCTTGGGCAGAAAGGGTACCAGGATTGAAGCCGGGAAAAAGCAGAAAATTGGACTTTAAGTGAGAAATAGCTTTGACATTTGCTGGGAGCCCCAGTGGTGCTTCTAACATGGAAAAACTCCCAATCGTTGCTACCCAAGCACAAACCTCAACTGTTACCGAAAGATAATGTAATTATGAAATCCAGATCACAGGATCCAGGGTCCTTGCTCCTTGCGACAGCTCAGAGGACTTTGTGTAGACTTTTTGTGTAAGAGACACTGAACTGCAGACCCCACAGATTCACTTTGTTTTCTGACTGGTCAAAGTGCATTTGCACCAGGCCTCGATACTAACACGGTGGAGACGCACACACCTGGAGAGGGTGCCCATGCTGGACCACAAGGCTGGACAGCCACCACCCTCTACACAGTGTGTGTGTGTCCTTTCACACAAAGTAGAGACTTGTTACGTCACCCGTCTCTACTATAAATCAATCATTTCAACATCCTCTCCTGTCCAGCAAGGATAAAAAAGCATTCTGGAGACGTCTGTTATTTTGTACTAAATGGATGAATTACTATTTCTGCACAGGATGCCCCTGGAAGGCCTGACGGACACAAACAGTCACATTCACTATTCAAGAGAGATTTTATTTCACCTCCCACCAAGTCAGGGAGGAGCTCACACACCCAGAGATGGGCACAAAGAGTCACACATCTAGTTCTCAGAGCAACACGAAGTACTGACCTGTTAGGCCGGCTGCCTCAGCAGACAGGAAGGCACTCCAAGAAAGCAGGAAAAACAAGCCTGTTTCCAGCATCGGGAACTCACAGAGCTTGGTGAATTTGGTCAGGTGACAAAGACGTGTTAAGGGAAACAATGCTTTTACAGCTAAATCTTCTTGTTAACGCAGACAAACTGAACTGATAATAGTTTTGAGTTAAAGATGATTGTCAGGCCTGACAGGAAGGATGTCACTCTCCATGAGCCCTGAAAGACTACTTTGAGTTCCCTGCTTCACTGAGGGATGACCATGTGAATAAAAATACAAAAATGTATTCAGATTTTTTAAAAAGATGCCTACTAAGACTATAAAACTGTGGTACAAAACCTCTGGAATTTGGCCTTAGCCATGCACAGGTGCTCCTTGGAGAACGGTAGCAGATTCAGAACAAAGGGAGTGTGGTTGGAATCAGAGGCTGGGTGTGTGTCGGTGAAGAGGCAGAGCTGCTCGCTGGAGGTGGAGTGGAGTGGGGTCAGAGTAATCTGTGTGCAGGCAGCACTTAGAGATAGAAATAGCTTCATGAGAAGAAGTTACATTCAGTGACAGGGGACCTTCCCATTCCCTCTTCATACAAGTAAAATGCAGGGGGAAATTTTTTATTATTTCTAGGTCAGACAAGATGCCCTCAGGCAGGTAATGGTTCATTTTGGCAAGAATGACACTAGGACAATAGTCTGTGAGTTGCAAGTACAGCAAAATGATAGTAGCCCACGTTGGACAAAGAAAGGGTTATGAGGAAATGATTAGGAGCATGTGATTGGTGGGAAAGGATTACATGTAATTTGTTCCAACTTAGGGGTAAAATGCCCTGACACATAAGGAAATGTGATCATGCAGCATTTTTATTCTTCTAGAACAAAATTTATAGCAGATTCCATTAAAAGATGTTTAGCAGCAGGTCAAGGGAGCAAAAACATGACTTCCAGCATGGAGTATCCGGGTCTAACTTTCGGCTTGGCCAGTCACTGGCTGTGTGATTTCTGATCAGTACAGTACCCTTTCCAGTGTGAACTGGCAAGGGGAATAATGCTCGTTCCCACAGTGTGGAGAATGAAGTATGTTAATACTGTCATGTAAAGTTTTAGGAAGCATAGAATGCCTACGGGCAGAAACATTACCAGGAGTGGGGTCTCTGAAAGCTGACTCCACCTGGGTTCAGATTCACTACATCTACTTGGACAAATGTCTGGGCCTCCAGGCTTCTGATTTCCATTGGAAAATGGGGATGACAGTAAAATCTGTATGACCAGTAATATAAACCAGTTGATATGTGTTAAATATACAGAACAGTGCCTACCATGCAAGAAGCAACATCCAACTTTTTTCTGTTAGTGATTTAAATTAATGTTTTTAGTAAAACATCTTTACTGGAAACAGAATCTGTCAATATGTGGAGGCAATTCTTCATTTGGAGTAAAAAATGGGCTGATCTTAGGCCCCTTTGCATTACCCCTTCTTGTTAGTTCCAGAGACGACTTGTTAGTTCAGAGGAAAGCCTGGATTCTTTCTTCAAGGTTGTTTTATTTTTTTGTTGTTATTGTTGTTTTGTTGTTTTAAAGGGAAAGTCCAGGCCATTGCAAGTAACAGAATATCAGTGGGCTCTAGAGAATTCTCCTCCAGAAAACAGTCTGGTGTTTAGTCAACCCCCAAGTCCAGAGCTTGGTACTATAACCTGAGGAGACTGCCTCAGCATAGAGGAGACATGGAGGGAATTAAGGTAGATGGAATAGCAGTATGCACTTGCCTTCTTCACAGCTTGTTTACAGAGGAGGTTAAAAGCCTCCAAGTGCCATATTATTGGTCATGCCACTGTGATTGAGCTCTTCCTCCCCACCCATGGACTCTTAAGTCTATATCTTTTCTTCTAGACCTGATCCAGTCTCCTGGAGGACTTCCCATCTCTGGGAATGTTTTCTTTCCCTTCTGAATGAGCCTGCTTACTTCTGTCAACACCTTCTCCTCACACCAGGCAGAGAAGGGCTCCAATCTCAGCTTCTGTACCTGCTGCACTCTTTGGTGCTAAACGACCCAGTTTGCTGTCCTGGGCCTGAAATGTCTTCAACGTATGGCCTTAGTCAAGTTGTTTAACCTTAATTGTTCCAGTTTCTTCAGCTATAAAATTAGGATAATAACAGGATCTACCTTGCAGTGTTCTTGTAAAAACTGCCTGAGACAATCCATGCAAAATGATTACAGATAGCTGGTATATGACAAAGATCTAGAAAATGTTAGGTGATATTCTAATCATTCTCACTGTGACCAATATGTGACCCAGAATGAGCTACTGAGCCCCCAGAAGCCTCATTTTCCACACCTGTAAAGAAAGGATAATAATTACCTGTCTTACAGTGTTGATGCAAATGCAGAGGTCCATGTAAAAGCCCTTGGCACATACTAGACATTCACTAAATGCTCCATCATTATCATTGTTACTTGTAATGTTCTAAATAAAACATGAACTCCACCACCATTCTACCTAATGATTAAGAATTAGTAGGTGATAGTGATTAGGAGCATGATCTTCTCTTGATTCTTACTCCCTGCAGTCATTTGTTGGCTGCATGACCTTGGCAATAATACCCTTCCTAAGCTTCAGTGTCCAATAAAAGTAATATCTGGCCATATGATCTCTGTGAAGGTTAGGTGAGATATCACATATAAAACAACTAGTAGAGCAGCCTGATGTATCATAAGTACTAGAGAAGGTCAATTTTAGGTGTGGGAAGCCAGCCCTACATTTTCCGACTTACTTTATCTCTGCCAATGGAGGGGCCATTCTCTAAGGGTTCCAGGAGAAAACTTTGGAGTGAGCTTTGACTGCTTGCCTTTATCTCTAATAAACAGCTAGACATGGGTCTCCCTCCTGCTGCTTCCTCCACAGTTCATCATTACCATTTCCCTCACTTCTAATCCCCTTCCTCTGTCACACTCCATGCACCAGATCCCTAGATAAGTTTTAAGTTTGTGATTCTCAGGGTGTCCCTCTTCTGAGCAGAACCCTTCCACAGCTAATTGTGGGGTACAGAAAGAAGCTCAGACTCTTATGAAAACACCCCAAGGGACTCCAAGAGCTGACTCCACCCACTGTGCTGCCTCATCTTCCTCTTTTCACCAACTGGAGCCCACTAGTCCCCTCTGGCACTTCTGCTGCATGCTACATCAGTCAGTCCCACTACTACCCATTAAAGGATTCTGCTCTGCATATGAACACTGCTTGTCAAATTATTTGTAGAATAACATAGTTGGCTAAGTGTCTATTGGTCCTTTCTAGATGCAATGGCCTGATTTTTAGTCCTAATAGCAATGGCTTCCTCAGTTCTGGTTTTCATTTATTATTATTATTATTATTATTATTATTATTATTATTGCTATTGGTACCGGAGATTGAATCCAGGGTCTTTGCAATGAGATATATCCCAGCCCAGTTTTAAAATTTTATTTATTTATATTTTTGAGACAGCGTCTTAGGCTGGGCTTGAACTTGCAATCCTCTTGCCTCAGACTGCTGGGCAAGTTAGGGGATTACAGGAGCACATCACTACACCTGGCTCCATCTCTGAATTTTTGTAGTTCTAATAATTTGTGTGAGCTTTGGCACTAATTTTCTATCTAGCTCTCCATATAGAGCTATGTCTCCAAGTTTGTCACTCACTGAGGGGAGAGACCATGTCTTATTCATCTTCTGACTCCTTAAAAATACTCTCAATAAAATTGAGCCTTTTAGCAGCTGTATAGTGAATCTCTGGGCCAATCCTCATGGAAAAAGTCTCCAACTTTGCTTTCTTTGTCATGGACCTGGCAGACTCCTTCCTCTTCTTTTCCCTGATGTTGTTGGTCCTTTGTTCTTTTGCTTTGCCTCTTCTTTTTGGCTTCTACTAAGCCCCCACACTTGACACTGGCCCTCTGGATTTCCTCAATTCTGACTTCCTTTGCCCCACCCAACTATTCTAGGTAAATAGCCCATGAGACTGGCCTCTTTTTCTGATAAAATCCTGTAGGAACCCAACTTACCCTCCCAAATCCCTAACAAAAGAGAGGAAACCCAATGACAAAGTTACCCAACTACAGAAAACATGTCTTTCCTGCATAACTCCCCTTCTACAAAGCTGTAGAGTTCTTTTAAGCCCTCAGTGATCTTTAGCTTGAGCATACCCAGTGTGTTACCCCCAGGCAATCTAGTCTTGCTCCTGGACTTGGATCTTCAGTTCTTCCCCTTGACCCTAGTATAGGAAATCCTGATATTTTCGCCCACTCCTTTTTCTAAGTGGCAATTATGTAAGAGCTGTTCATATTCTAAGAACAGATACCAGCAACAGGGCTAGAATTGACCTTGGACAAACAAAAACCTGATCCTCTCTGTTATCAGTATCAATGTCTGTTTCCTAGAATCACTCAGAACTAGGATGGCTTCAACAACATATATCAAATTTGAACCAGAATGCCTTGCCATTTACCACCCTGGAGATTTCTTACTGTAGTGGATTGACAACTGGTGGTCAACTTATAACCCCCAGCTGAACTGAGTAAGTGTGGTGCTGGATGTGGGAGGTCCACCTGGGGATTGTTGCCAGCAGCATAAGAGACAGAACTGGAGAAGAAGTGAGGCTGTTGGGAGCTGAGAGAGGCTGTTGGAAGCTGTTGAGAAGCTGTAAGGAGAAGTTGGTTCTGTTGGAGGAGCTTGTCATGATGGCTTTTCTGATGAACTCAGTTGTTTTCATACTCCAAGGAGCTCGGGACCTTGTTGGCACTGAGAATGCCTTTGGTTCATTTTGGGGGAGCTCTGGTCCTCACTCAGAGCATTGCTTCCTGGCTCTGGAGGGGAAGAAGGTCCACAGCTCAGTCTCCTGGAGAAGCTTGCTGCGTTGGCTTTCCTGATGAGAACTCAGCTGTCTTCACCATGAGCAGAGCTCAGGACCTCACTGTTGCTGAGGATGGCTGTGGTACTTTTCAGGGGAGCTCTGGTTCTTACTTTGCATATCACTTCCTGGCTCCAGTGCAGATCACTCAGCCTGCTAGCACAGATCCTTCATCCCGCTGGCACAGACCTTCTAGATTCCACTATTAACCTTTGAGCCTTCCCAGCACAGATCCATGAAACAGGTCTGCATGAGACATTGTTATAGGCTCTGGGCCTCCGGTTGGATTTGTGGGAGGCATTGTTATGAGCTCTAGGCCTTCAGCTGGGCTCATGCAGGACATTATCACAGGATCCAGGCCCTCAGCTGGATTCTAGGTCTATAGTGTGTGGACAGATTTCCTGTACTGTCTCAGATTTCCTGTACTCTGTATATCATTCTTCGAGTGACTACTATAAATAATCTTATAAAATATGTGTCCTGTATTATATTGTTTCCTTGCAAAATAACCCTAAACCATAACACTTATCATCAGAAACATCCCATGGACACTAGTCCTCTCCACATGCAAAGGATATCAGCGCTGTGACGACTGCATACGCGGACCCCATCGCAAAGGAGCCAGTGAAGATCCCCAGGAAATTCCCCGCAGACTGGAAGAATGCTGCAGTGTCGAATGCATTCGGATTCTCCTTGGGACTGTAAATGGATATAGAACTGAAAAGAGAAGAGGGGGCAAGTTAGACAGGGACTTCCACTTACAGCCCAGTCAGAGTTCCCTACTCACTTTGGGGAGAGGCACCTTTTCCTGTAAAGTTGGGTGCCAGCTGGATGAACCGAGAGAAAAAGTAAAGAAGGGAAGAGGTAGAGAAAACAGACATCTTTCCCTTTCCTTATAGCCTAATCCCATGGTATCCATATGTTGCTGCCAGTCAGTAAACATTTTTATATTGGAAGGGTCATAAAGAATATTGTTTCTGAGCAAACTAGGCATTAAAACATGGTAGGTGTATAAAGAATCTGCTGAGAAGATAGATAACTGTGAATTATTTAGTGGCCATATGTCTTCTGTGCTGTTATATATTCACAAATGTTCCTGATAAAAAGTGCACTTTTATGGCCTGTGCACAAATGGGTGATACAAATCACAGCACGCACAAAATATTCTGCTGTGATCTTGTCATAAACCACAAAGCATTCCTCCTCTCCGCTGTAACCCTTCAGAAACAGAGCCCTGGTGGCACTCAGAATATCACAACATTAACCTCTGGGGAGAGACAAAACCCTCATTTGCCCACCAAAACAAATGGCAGTGGCCGCCCAAGGTCATGTTTTATTCCCCTATTCTGGTGGCTGCCAACACACTTCTTCTCATAGAGAAAAATCAATCCACCAATAGGCAGTCTGCTCACTTAAATATTTTCCAGGATGTTGTATTTGCTTCTTTTTTAAGAGCAGTGTCCCAAATCCCAGAGTATTAATATGAAGGATAGCCACATCTTATTTAAAGAAATATGATCTCCATGTTGCAGCATTAAAATGAGCAGATGTGCTAGAAACAGTTGCTTTAGGGAGACTCATGAAGTAGCATTTTAGATTTTTTATTTTTTGCCGGTTTTATTTGAACACGGGGTCTTTAAATCTAATCAGGAAAAATTCAGAATTTGTTTTTTGGTGCTGGGAATTGAACTCAGGACCTTGTGCTTACCAGGCAGGTGCTTGTGCCACTGAGCTATCTCCCAGGCTCTAAAATTCAGAATTTAGCAGTGGATTCTGGAAAGAACTTTGAGTGGTGAGGAGCACACAAAGCACACCAGACACACTGAGATTAGATGGGATTTACAGTTTTAACAGTCTTTTATGCTCTGATGATTAGAGCACATTCACTCTCTGACCTGACTTTTTACATCTAGAGATTGGCTAAGGGAAACAAAGGGAGAGGATTCCAATTCTCCTCTGAAAGATACGTGGCACAAAGAAGGTAGTTTTAAATGTTAGTTTTCCCTCGATGTCTTTAAACTCCTGAAGTAGGCCAAACACTTCTGCTTTGATCCTGTAATTGGATAAGGAAGATAAATGTGGATCCTGAATGAAGCCCCAAAATGTATGCGAGAAAAGGACTGCTTTTGAAGTGTTTTTCTTTCTGTAAAGTGTTATGCTTTATAGCAAAAGCAATTCCATATCTAGGGTCTTTCTGTCTGCCAATCTTGAGGAAAGGTGTAAAATCTCATGACCATTAGCAAACCTGGTACCCAATGCTGTGAAGTTTGATGGGTTCCCCCCACCCCGGATCAACCTACCGGCATATTTTTTTCATTCTAATGAGAAACAATGTGATATGAAACACTTTCTTTCATTTTTCCTTTGAACAAAGCCTTTTTCACAGTGGGGCTTTGTAAATAACTCTGGAATTGCTGGGACTGCCACCAGTAGATCTGACTCATGAAGCAGGCATACCTTTCGAAGTGTTTTCTCTTTGCCCAGTGGCTTAGTTACTTTTCTCATTGCTGAGACAAAAATACTTGACACCCAAAGTTAAAGAAGGAAAGGTTTATTTAGCTCATAGTTTGTAGAGGTTTCAGTTCCTAATTGGCTGGCTCCAAGGCTGGGAGGCTTGGGAAAACAGAGGAGAGGAGAAACAGTTCATGGGAAGCAGAAGGCAGCAAGTAAGGAGTGCATGATAGCCCGCTTTGTCTTATGCAGGCTACCCTTAGGTCAGGTGGCACTCACACCCTTAATCCTAGTGCTCTTAATCCTATCACTGCACCATGAATCAATCCCAGCATCACACACTCTAGATCCGGTCACCTCTGAAAAGTTCCACCTCTGAATAGTCCCACCTATATGAGGCTTTGGGGGACATCTAGACACAAATCATAATACCTGGTTTCTGGAACTTGGAGCACTACTGTTGCATAATTTGGCCATCCCCTGCTGTCCTGGTGAATGTAATGTTTTTCTTCAAACCAGCTCATTTTTATACCATTGCCATAGTTTTTCTTGAAGAATATCTATGAAATCATAAGTTTGCTGCACTAAATATATTTTCTTTTAATATATGTGAGAACATGTAATTTGAAAAAGTTCACCTAAACTCATTTGGGTAGTGCCACTCATCAGCAGCTTGTGCTTTCAGAGATACTATTCCCTTTTAGCCCACCTAACAGAGTGCAGTCTCTGTTCTCCTGCCTTTGTACCACTGTCTGTGGATTTTGGGTCAACTGAAGAGAAAGCCTTAACTGCCCTTGAGCTACAGAGACTGTGCATTGGATCTGCTGGCCCCACGATGTATATTTTAGACAAAAACTGGGAAGTGTAGAGAGAAGGGAAGCATAAATTGATCCAACAAACATTGTATTAACAGTTCATATACACCAAGCATATCTAGGCAAACAGTTCTAGTCCCAGTGAAGAGTGTGATGTGAGAGATACACATTAAATGGTGCAAAGGGAGGGAAAGGGGCACTGTTTTAGAATACAAGAGATGACATCTGAGTAAAGTATCAAATCAACAGGCAGTGATGAAGAAAGGTACTTCAGGCAATGGAAAGAGCATGACGAGGTGCAGAGAGGCAGGTAGATCAGAACACGTGCCGAGAAGGGCTGCGTGGGTACGGCTGGAATCCAGGGAGCATGGACACGGGTACAGGCAGAGGGGGAAGGTGGGTCAGCTCGCACCACTTACAGCCTTCATTTCCATGGCAAGCATGTACAGCTCTCACATTTTCATAGTATTTAGTCCTCTACACATGCATTATAACCTTGTTTACTCTTTGTAGTGGTTGATAGATTGTGTCAACTTGAGAAGTTTAGAAGCTTAACTAAACTTGGCTCAGCCATTGGCTCAGCAATTCTACACCCTAGGGTATAGAGCAGCCACCCTAAGACGGGTCACCACCTAGATGATATAAAAGGCAAACAAGGAAGGACAGATGGGTTTCACTCTTCAGAGGAGCTCCAGTCTTCACCTTCAGCTTGGATGCCGTCTCCTGGTTTCTAGTGCAGACTCTTTGGCTTCCGCCTTGGATCCTTCAGGCTTCCAGCGTAGACTCATCAGCCTTCCACTGCAGACCCATCGGCCTCTTGATACGAATACTGAATACTGAATCCTTCAGTCCCCAATGTGCAGACACCCACTGCACGCTTCCTCATCCAACTCTGTGGCTGACCAATCTTATAATTTCTTATACATTTGTATATCTTGTGTTATATCTGTTTCTCTAGTAAACACTGACTGATACACTCTTCTCTGTGTGAGGTAAATGGGGCTGGTATTGTTCTCTCTATCTCTTTTTTTCTTTTTATAAAATAAAGAAATAAAGGAAAGGAGAACTTGGGATTGCATAGCTACTGACCTCATGGTGTAGATTTCTTGTTGTTTCTTTTAAAAAGTGATCTTTTTGGGGTAAATAGAAAAGAAGCCACATAAGGACAGTGGAGTGATATTGCCACACTGACTTTAAGGACCACAGGAGTTCGGGACCAGAGCCTTAATTTTCATGCCTGGGAAGCAACAGGGATCTGGCAGTTGCTTGAGTGCGGGGCACTGGGCACTAGCAGGAGACTGAGGGCTCCTCACAGAAATGTACTCTCAGCTCTGCCTTCCACTTCCAGACTCCAAGCTTTGCTGGGCCAGAGCTGGTTCTTATTCCTCTCCGTTTTCCCAGGATGAAGTCTGGTGCCTGGCATGTGGCAAGTTATATAAAGGCTGAAACAACAGAGGCGGGATGACTGGAAATTAGAAAAAAAGAAAGGAAGCAATGCAGGAAACAAGGCTCCAAAATGCATCATCATTCACAAGATTTTTATTGGGTATTGACTAAACATAGTTGTGTATGAATATATTGGGGTGATCAACCCACACTTGAAGCTGATATTTGTGCCTCTTTACTTTGGCCAAAGGTTTGACACCTACTGCATGGAGACAAGTCACCTTACCACACTCAGAATCAGTTTTGTCACGTTTTAAATGGGGATGATAATAGTACTTATGCTCCAGAAATGCTGTGAAGATATAGGTGGCACTTCAAACTTCAGTTTTCTGGTGGATTCCAGGGCCATTCACGGACTGGATATTGTGTCTACTCAAACAAACTCCCACTGAATGTTATTTACCGTCATTATCACTGTCATCCTGCTACAAATTTCCACAAGTCTCACAACTAGAAACAGAGCTCTGTGTGCTGAACTGGTCCTAGATTCTAACTGTGGGCTGAGGGGCATGGCAGCCCTTCTGCCACTGCAAGCTTTGTGTTTCCTCCTAGAGAGGGACTGGTCACTTTTGCACAGGAATAGAAGTGAGTTGAGGGAGAGAAGGTGCCTGGCAGGCATCCCAGGGAAATGGCCTTAGGATTGAACCTAGAAAGTTCTGATGTTTATCACAGAGATCTTGATTCAGTCATTTGGAAGGGAAGAAGTGTCCTCAGCAGGCTGGGCAGGGGTTTGCCCCAGGGACAAGCATAATCCTGGACTCAGTTTGCATTTCATAGCAGCAGGTTTAGTGAGGGGTGTTTTGCAGGCAATGCTCCCGGCAAACTCCTGGTGAGAAATTTGGCAAAGGAGGCAGGAGCTTGGGAGACCACGAAGAATGCTTCTCTCTGGACTGCCAGCATTTTACGAAGTTGTTCCTCTAGGCCTGTGGTGGCGAATCTATGGCACATATGTTGCAACAGGCACTCAGAGCCCTCTCTGTCGGCAGGCAAGCCAAGTCAACCCCA